CAGATGTTTAAGACGAGTGTGCGCGGCGCTAGCGCGAGAGCCACATTTTGAAAAGGAACCGCCCTCAATCCGTGAAACTGTTGCAAATGTCCAAGACGAATGTGCGCGGCGCTGAGGCGAGAGCCACATTTTCAGAAAATGATTCGCCTTCAATCCGTGAAGCTCTTGCAGATGTTTAAAACGAATGTCCGCGTCGCTAGACCAAGAGCCACACGTTGAAAGCCACCCGCCCTCCATATGTGACATTGTTGCCAATTTTGAAGCTTCAGAGTCATGGAAGGTGAAGACAACTCAGGCGAAACGCTGCGGCGTCATGGAAGGTGGGGAAATTCAAGGAAGGTGAAGAAAATGGTGAAGTGAGGAGGCGAGAGTGCACGGCGGGCAAGGCTTGTGTCCACAGCCACCGCAGCTCGGAGTTTTGGGCCCCTTTCCCGATAAGCCAGAGGCGCACTGGGTACGGATAGAAGCCTGCCCCCTGGAGCCTCGATGTCTACTCATATATATATGTATGTATATATATATAGAGAGAGATGCATCTGTTTATGTGTGTATATATATACACGTGCATGCACGTACGAATGTATGTTTGCTTATGCATGCATGAAGGCATGCATATACATGTGTGCATGTATGCATGCTTGTGCGTACGTACGTACGTATGTGTGTATGTGTGTTTGTATGCATGCATGCATGCATGCATGTGTGTATGTAAGGATGTACGTATAGTTTAATGTGTTTATGCGTGTATGCATGGATGCAGGTGCATGTGCATGGTTCTGTGTGCATGCATGCATTTATGCATACCTGAGCGTACGCATGCATGTATGTGCGTACGTACGTCTACATGTATGTATGCACAACTGTGCACACGCATGTAGTTATGTGTGTTTGTATGTATGCATGTACATGTGTATGTGCACGCACGTGTATGTGTACACGCATATAATTATACACATGTATATGTGTGTGCGTGTATCTATGTATGCATGCACGTACGTACGCATACATGTGTGTATGGATGCATGTATGCATGTATGTGTGTATGCATGCATGTATGTGCGTAATGTAATGTATGAATGTATGGATGTAGGTATGTAAATATGTATGTGTGCATGCCTGTGTGTATGTATACATGCATGCATGTACGTATGTGTGTACGTATGCGTGTGTGTGTGTGCATGTGCGCATGCGTGTATGAATGTGCATGTGCATGTGCATGTGCATGTGTGTATACATGCATGCATGTACAAATATGTATATACACACCTATATATGTGTATGTATAGGTGTATGCAGTGCGTCTCGGCCTTGCGGCGCCCCTTCCAAGGCAGTCCAAGACGCACTGCATATGGATATGGTCATCGCCCGCAGGTAATTAGGGGATGTCTCGAGCGAGAGGGGATGACCACGCCACCAGGGAGACCCTTCCCCGCTCCTCCTGCCATTGGCCCCTGGTGGTGGTGGTGTTGCTGCTCCTTTCTCCTGGCTGGGGCGGGGAAGGCGACAAGATGAAGCGGGGTGGCGACGAGGGCGTGGACAGGGTGAAGCTGCTGAGGCAGCTGTCCAAGGAGGAGGCCAAAGGGACCGAGGACCCCCATTCGGCCTTGCGCGCCTGCTCCGATGCCCCAGGCCCGCGCTCCAGGCTCCCAGGCGCCGCGCGCTCCCCTCGCTCCTCCTGCGACCACTCCTCCTCCTCCGCTTCCTCCTCCTCCTCCTCCTCCTCCTCCTCCTCCTCCTCCTCCTGCCAATGGGGCCAGAGCAAGTGGGGTCGGAGGATGGCGCCACATTGCCGATGCCCTCGGCGATGCGGCGCGGACCTCCTTCCTCGGCCCCCTCGGCTCGGGCCCCAGCGGAGGGACCTCCGGCGATGGTCGCAAGGAGAGCCTGCAGGCTATCAGAACCTGACCCTTGGCATCGCTCGGACGTGTGCTTTTTTCTCGGCGGCAAGACATCGAGGACCATGTTTTACGTCATCCCATCTTGGGAAACATACGTGCACGAAACTGGAACACGCACGGGGAAGGAACGTCCGAGCGGTGGCCGGAGCTTGTCGGAGGTCCGCACGGGTTTCCTCGGCGCCGGCGCCGGACTCGCCTCCCGGGTGCGCGGAGCGCGCCAGGGGCGGCGCCGGAGGCGCCGCCACAGGCGCCGGCGCCGAGCCGAGACATCAGCGCGGACGTCCGACGGGTCATTTTTACGTTGTTGTTTGCTTCCTTGCTTCCACTTTTCTTTCTTCTTCTTAGTATTTGTCTTCCTTTTTTTGCTTATTGACAGAGGCCTTTTCTTCCTAGTATTCGTCATTCTTCTTAGTATTCGTCTTAGTATTACGTTGTTCTTTGCTTCCTTTCTTCTTAGTATGTGTCTTCCATTTTTTGCTTACTGACAGAGGCCCTGCGACGGCGCCCCCTGCTCCGATTGATCCCAAGGCCCTGGCAAGGGCGAGGATGGGGGGGGGAGGGTTCCCTTCTCCTCCAACTCCTCCTCCTCCTCCTCCTCCTCCTCCTCCTTCTTTTCCTCTTGCTCCTGGTGCCTCGATCTCGGAGCCCCTCGTCTCGTCGCTACCTGGAGCCTCCTCCTCCTCCTGCTCTTCCTCCTCCTCCTTCTCTTTCCTCCTCCGTCCTCCCTCTTTTTCCTCCTCCTCCTCCTCCTCCTCCTCCTCCTCCTCTTTCCTCTTCCTTCTCTTCCTCCTCCTCTTTCCTTCTCCTCTTTCCTCCTCCTCCTCCTCCTCCTTTTCGCTAGGCAGACATCACCAGCGTGGCTGCGTTCGTCGTCCTCCTCCTTCTCGCTCCGCTCGCCCTCCGCTCTTCCTCCCCCACCCTCGATCAAGCCCCCCCCCCTCTCACCGCTCCCCCCCCGTTCACCCTTCGTGCGCACGGCCGCGGCGTGTGCCCAGGAGGCCGCCAAAGAGGGGGAGGACGATGCCGGCAGGACCACCACCCCCGCCGCCGAGCCGCTGGGTATCCGGTGGGGATCTGAGTTCTCCTTTCTCTCTTTTCTATTTCTCTCTCTCTCTCTCTCTCTTCCTCCCGTCCCTATCTCCCCCGAGTCTGCTTGAGCGTGTGTTAGGATTGCCTTTCTTGTTCGCAGACCTTGGATCGCAGTGTGTGTGTGTGTGAGATGGGGCCCAGCACTGATGGATAAGGCATGCAGCCCCCAATGCAACAATTGGCGACCTCATGCCTGTGCTCGTGATATATATATATATACATATATGTATGTTTGTGTTTGCTCAGGCGCTCTGGGTGAGCTTTCGGCGACCGCATCGCCGCTTCTGACGAACGAACAATCCACACCCATACCCATAGGGATGTCGGAGTTAGGAGGACTAGCAATGGGTATGGGTGCGGGTTGTCGGACCCGTTGGGAGGATCTCGTTCGAGCGGGGAGCCCCCATTCGACAGCCCTCATCCATAGCCCCGTCCCTCCCCTTTATTGGTATGGGTGTGTGTGTTGTTCGTTTGTCGTCTTCAGACTGGCTTATGACACGAAACACGTTTGACCAAGTTTGTTGTGTGGTCGACTCCAGCAGGATTCCCCCGCCGCGCCCTTGCAGCCCGATCGGGACCTGAGCTTGGCGGTTAAAAGGCGGGCCTTTGAGGGATGGGGCCCTAAGTCGCATACCCTCTCGGATCATGAAACAAGTATGTACGGGACGTACTTTTGTGTTTTTTTCTGCTTCCAGGGGGGCCCCGCTGGCCCCCGGGACCGTCAACAAGACTACTCGGGATGTAGGACGGGTCCCTGGGAGCGGCTTGAGATCTCTGGGGGGGGGGGGTCCACGCCGTGACAAACAGCATGACGTCGAGTGCCTGGGGCCGAGGACGAGACACCGGCATGAATCGTCCGCTTTCGGCGCTCCGCGCGGGTTTCTCCCGTCGGCGCTGCGGGGCCCCCGGCGGGATCGCGGCGGCCCGTGCTCCCACGGCGTGCTCGACCTTCGGGCCAGCTCCTGTTCCCGGCCCCGGTGCCGTCCACAGGGGCGGCTCGGGATGCACCAGGGCTGGACCTGAGCGCTGTTTTTTGCTGGACCTCGGCGGTGCTTTGTTTTTTTGTGGTTTTGGGGAGGGAGGCACGGGGAAGCAGGCCGAGCAAGACGAAGCACAACACGCAGGCAACACGGAACAGCGTTTAGCTCCAGCCTTGGGATGCACCCTCAGGATATCGGGGGCGGAAAAGAGGGGGGTTATGACTAGGGGGGGGGGGATATCATGGCGGGGGCCATGATATTTCCCCAGATTTCGTGGCGCCTCTTCTTAGTTCATTACATCCCTGGCCCCCCCGCTGGGCCGCGCACATGCCGCCGGTCATGATTTGCACCCCCCCCTCTTGGACACCCCCCTCTTTGCCGCTCCCGAAACAGGGCTGGACCTGAACGCTGTTTTTTGCTGGACCTCGGCGGTGCTCTGTTTTTTTTTGTTTGTTTTGGGGAGGGAGGTACGGGGAAGCAGGCCGAGCAACACGAAGCACCACACGCAGGCAACACGGAACAGCGTTTAGGTTCCAGCCCTGGGATGCACCCTCGGGATGCAGTGAGCGGCTTGAATGAGGAACACTTTTCGTTGCGGAGGGACTCGGTGTCCCTTGCTTGTGTCACATTTTGCCTCGGGTGCTCCTGAGGTGTTCCAGGGAAAATCAAAGCTCAATGTATAGGGAAAAAGGGGCCTCGCTCCTTATCTAGGGCTCCTTAGGTCAACGCCCCGACTGCACGCGGGCGCTCCGGGCGGAGGGGGGGGGGTCGGGGTCCCTCGGGGCCGACGCCGCGGCGGACAGCGTGGCGCGCAGGCCGCGGGGAGGGGCGAGGGCCTGCCAGGGGCCGCCGCGCAGAGCGGGGGGCCGGCGGTCGGTCGGGGCTGTTCCTTCGCGGCAGGCGCGGGGGCCGCCTCTTCCCAGCTGGGGGCCGCCACGAGGAGGAGGAGGAGGAGGAGGAGGAGGAGGAGGAGGAGGAGGAGGAGGATATGAGATATGAGATACAAAGGGGACGCAGTGTCCCTCCAACCACTCTACGAGCACTCAGGAGGTCCCTCATTGGAGCCCTCGTCAGAACTCTCGGGAGGTCCCTCGTTGGAGCCCTCAGGAGCCGCTCCTACACCTGACTGGACAATCAGGGAGGCGTCCTTGGCCCCCTTTGGCAGACCTGCATAGCTCGGGACCTTACCCTGCTTGATCCTTGTGAGATTCTGCTGCCCCCTCTTGGTGGGGCAGCGGCACGGCACGGCCAGCCCAACCAGCTTCAGGGTGGCCGTCGAGCCGCACACATTGCAAAAGAACAGAATGTGCTCCTGCCAAAGAAACAGCGCATGAGACGGGTGGACCACTTGGTTCCCAAGGATCGAGTACGAATTGCACTCAACAGTACTGCTCGGGACGCCCACCCCACCGCCCACCCTAGGTGCAGGGACGGGGGTACATGAAGACTCGGCCGCTTCCTCGATCCTGGACCCAGGAACCAAAAGGCGGCACGCAGAGCACAGCCAGCAACCACCCTGAACGGAGGTCCAGGCATGCTGGCTGGCCGCCAAGGCTCGGGTGAGCTTTGGCTGAGGAGCGGACCGAGTCTTCGGAGGCCTGCTGGCCTCCCAAGCGTCAACCTCGAGCGTGTCAATCAGGGCCTTCCGTGCACGAGTCCTAACCTGCGCAGCGATGGTGTCCCACACATCAGTGTGCGGGGCGTCGCCGACGAGCCCCCGAGAGAGGGCCTCTTGGGCCGCAACTCCCGCCAGGGCATCAGCACAGGCATTTCCAGCGGCGCGGAAGATCACACTAGGCGAGACCAGCAGGTGGGCCTGCTCGTCCATGTGGGACGGGATCCACACAACAGAAATCTCGGCAGCTCCCTGGTGTCCTCTGGAGGCCAAACCCCGCTCCACACGAGCCCAGAGGTCCCCATTCACCCCAAGAGGAGAGGTATGCCTGCCCGAGAGCCACCCTAGGTACAAGGCCCTATTGTCAGTGTAAAAGACACAAGGGCCTTCTGTCGACTCGACGGCAAGGGCGAAGGCCAAAAGCTCCGCGCGTGGGACTGTCTGGCGCGCTGGCAGTCCGCCCAGCATGCCTCCCTCGAGGCGCCAGGCGCCCTTGTTAAAAGAGACGGAGCAAAAAGCAGCTCCGCAGCGACGACGGCGAGGGTCCGCAGTGTGGCCCCCCCCGCTGCCGTCTCCAAAAAGATTGAGCACTCCATCAGAGCCTCGAGCCCTACGGAAGTCGCCAACCTCGAAGGACCACTCCGTGAAGTCCTCGTCGTACAGCGGCGTCGTGAGGCGCAGCGCGGGGAGGCCGCGGAGCCACAGCGACGGCTGGCTCTCATGCTGGGCGGTGGCCTGCGCCGCAAGGTGGCTGGTGGAATCGTACTCCTTGCACCCTCGGTTCGCAGGACACGTCCAAATTCGGTGATACAAAGTCTCGTCCTCGTGGCCGCAGCGGGGGCAGGTGACAGACTCCAGCTCGTAGCCCGCATCTCTTTGCCTGACCCGCGGCCATTGGCCACCAGACGTGACCACGATGCTCTGCGCGTACATGTCCATCTGGCCGTTGGAGCGGTAGTGCTGCTGCTTACGAACGATGACGGTGGCATCCGCGCCCTCGCACAAGTCGTCACCGTGCAGGTGCTTGCTGGCCACGCCCCACATCACCCGCTTGAGGTCCGCCACGAACTCGTCCTGCACCGCCGACGTGTCCATGTCCAGATCCTCGTGGCCAGGAAGGCGCCATTCGACGCCAGCGGCTGTCGTCCACGATCGAGCCGTAGTAGGTGTCCAGCCCGCGTCCAGCAGCATTGCCATGAGCGCCGCCATGGGGCCACACACAGCACGCCACCTCCGCTTGGGCCCTGCACGCACCAGCTTGGCCAAGACGCTGGGCCACGCACACTCGATACGCCTGTGGAGCTGCGGGGCCCGCCTCCAGAGGTCGAGCCAATCACTCAAGAGCTGGCGCCTGAGCTCCAGTCCAGGCTCTTTGTCGCCGTGGAGCGTGGCCAGGAGGCTCGTGAGACACCTCCCAGGACCCTTGCCCGCGGCCGAGAGTGCTGCGCTCCGCCTCAGCCTGAGGATAGCCGAGGGAGCAAGGCCAGATGCCTGGTGGCCGTACGTCGACCTCGGCAGCGCGGCCGTGGACCACAGCGCCTTGGTCACACGGGAGAGCTGGACGTGGCGCCTCATCCTGAAGATACGGCGGAACTGGCACTGCCCCGCCTTCCTCCTGGAGATCGCCCTGCGCTGCGTGCGCACGCGTCCAGCAGCGGTGTCCACGCCGAGGTCCACCGCGTGGTTGGCCGCCGCGCAGGGGACGCCTCTGCGCACCAGCGCACGGTGGAGGTCCTTGGCCAGCTGCGGGTGGCTGGCGATGACGACGGTCTTGCCAGAGACCTGCAAGTGCTGCTCGTCGAGGCCAGCCTTGAGGGACTCCGCCACGCCAAGGATGGTGGAGCGCACGTGCTCAAGCTTGCCTTCCGCCCTCGCCACCGTGTCATCGACGAAGGTCCACAGCTGCGCATACTCCCACTCGAGGTGGGCTGCCCGTAGGATGGGCGCCAGGAAGAGCTTCGCGCACTTGTTGCCATGGGAGCTGCCTGCCACCACCGAGCGCTGCGGCGCAAGGCGTGGCCCCAGCCACCGCTGCTGGCGGAGGTGCCTTGGCGCCAAGAAGAACTGTGCCTAAGGCCAGCGCCACTGCAGGGAACCGCATGCGGAGCCCCGAGGAGGAGGAGGAGGAGGAGGAGGAGGAGGAGGAGGAGAAGGAGGAGGAGCGGTTGGAAGGGGCAGCATTTGGGGAGGGGCAGGAGCAGCGACGAGGAGGGAAGGGAGGGGCAGGAGCAGGACAGCGACGAGGAGCAGGACAGCGACGAGGAGGAGGAGGAGGAGGAGGAGGAGGAGGAGGAGGACCGCCACGAGGAGCGAGGGGAGGGGCGGGAGCAGGACAGCGGCGAGGAGGGCACGGGGGAGGGGGAGGCGAGGAACGGGGGAGGGCGAGGAGGGAGGGGGCACGGGAGGAGCGGTGGGGGGTGCTCGGGGTCTCGTGGCTGCTGGCGCGCGGGGTCGGGGCACACGGCCCGCGGGCGGCGGCCCCTGGCTGAGGCGGGCCGCCGCGTGCCCGGCGGGTGCGTTCCGGCCCCGGCGCGCGGTGCGCAGAGACTAGGGAGCGGAAAAGAGGGGGGTGATGTCTAGGGGGGGGTGGATATCATGGCGGGGGCCATGGTATTTCCCCAGATTTCAGGGCGCCTCTTCTCACCTGGCCCCCCCGCTGGGCCGCGCACATGCCGCCGGTCATGATTTGCACCCCCCCCTCTTGGACACCCCCCTCTTTGCCGCTCCCGAGAGGAGGCGGCGCAGGACCCCCCTCCGGGGGAGGGCTGGGCCTCCTCCCCCCTCTCGGGCGGCCGCGGGGGGGCTTGCGCAGGGGCGCGGGCGAGGGTGAGCGGATGGCAAGGTGGTTGTATGTTTAAGTCGGGCGTGTCCCCCTATAGGGAGATCTTCGACGAAGAATCAAAAATACCCCAAACATAGTCCAAAAATAGTCCAAACATAGTCTGGGGACTATTTTTTGAATTGTTGTTTTACCTGTTTGTGCTATTTCTGCGGTATTTTTCCCCACATTCTAAGTGGGGTTCTGATTTTCTCTACACCCGCGTCGCACCCGCGTTCACTCACCTCCCCTTCTCTGCGTTCCCACCTCACCTCCTCCTTCTCGCTTGTACACACCACACCACACCACGCCACATCGCACCACACCACACCACGCCACACCACACACCACCACACCACAGAGAGTGCGCAGAGGGTGGTCCCTCAGCGCAGCCTCTATCCGTGACGCGCTCGCAGATCGTGGTAGGAGCGGCACTTTCTCGACACCAGAGGGGGTGCGCAGAGAGTGGTCCCTCAGCGGGGCCTCTATCCGTGACACGCTCGCAGGGCGTGGCAGGAGCGGCACTTTCTCGACACCAAAGGGGGTGCGCAGAGGGTGGTCCCTCAGCGGGGCCTCTATCCGTGACACGCTCGCAGGGCGTGGCAGGCGCGGCACTTTCTCGACACCACTGGGGGGGGCGCAAAGGGTGGTCCCTCAGCGGGGCCTCTATCCGTGACACGCTCGCAGGGCGTGGCAGGCGCGGCACATTCTCGACATCACATGGGGGTGCGCAGAGGGTGGTCCCTCAGTGTGGCCTCTATCCGTGACACGCTCGCAGAGCGTGGCAGGCGCGGCACTTTCTCGACGCCGCTGGGGGGGCGCAGAGGGTGGTCCCTCAGCGGGGCCTCTATCCGTGACACGCTCGCAGGGCGTGGCAGGCGCGGCACATTCTCGACATCGCATGGGGGTGCGCAGAGGGTGGTCCCTCAGTGCGGCCTCTATCCGTGATACGCTCGCAGGGGTGTGGCAGGAGTTGGGGGCGCTCTCTCTTTCAGGCTTCCAGGGCGTGTCAGGCGTAACAGTTCCTCGACGCCAGAGGGCGGCGCATGGGGTGGGGAGCTCCACAGATCGACATATGGGACACATGTCTTTGACCCTCGAGCATCCTGATATGTAACACATTGGCTCAAGCCGGCTCAGCTCAGCCGCAGGGGGTGGTCTCTCAGCTCGGCCGCTATCCACGACACTGGCGCAAAGCCTAGCAGGCGTGGCACTTTCTCGACACCACAGGGGGTGCGCAGGGGGTGGTCTCTCAGCTCGGCCGCTATCCACGACACTGGCGCAAAGCCTAGCAGGCGTGGCACTTTCTCGACACCACAGGGGGTGGCAGGGGGTGGTCTCTCAGCTCGGCCGCTATCCACGACACTGGCGCAAAGCCTAGCAGGCGTGGCACTTTCTCGACACCAAAGGGGGTGGGCAGGGGGTGGTCTCTCAGCTCGGCCGCTATCCACGACACTGGCGCAAAGCCTAGCAGGCGTGGCACTTTCTCGACACCACAGGGGGTGCGCAGGGGGTGGTCTCTCAGCTCGGCCGCTATCCACGACACTGGCGCAAAGCTAGCAGGCGTGGCACTTTCTCGACACCAAGGGGGTGCGCAGGGGGTGGTCTCTCAGCTCGGCCGCTATCCACGACACTGGCGCAAAGGCTAGCAGGCGTGGCACTTTCTCGACACCACAGTGGGTGCGCAGGGGGTGGTCTCTCAGCTCGGCCGCTATCCACGACACTGGCGCAAAGCCTAGCAGGGAACATTCGCGACGAGGGCCCAGAACGCAGGATTGTGCATACACATATATATATATATAATACATAAGCAAACACATAAGATTTAAATTCAGTATGTGGGGTTCCTCGGTAGCGTACTTCATTTTTCGTCGAAAATCCCCCCTGTAGGGGGACACGCCCGACTTAATTGTATGTGGGCCCAGCCTGGCTTACGAGTGGGTGGCAGATGCCCCAAGTGGCCAAAGGGGGGCTACAGATGCCCCAGGTGGCCGAGCTGGACTGGGGCAGTAGAGGCGAATGCCAAGGAGGTTTCTGGCTGGGCCGGACCGAAAAATGCTTAGTCTGTTCGGGCGGGTGACCGCGGGGGTACAACTGCCCCAAGTGGATTAGGGGTTTAGATGCCTATGGTCAGCGGGCGGAGCGCACTTAGCCCGGACCGCGAACTCCCTAAGCCACTGAGGGCAGTTGTAGACTGCTTGTATGCCAGGTTGGGTCAGGGAGAACCCCCGCGGCATCCGATTAGGAACCCCGATCCCCGTAGCAGCCCCCGCGGTCAGTCCAGCAGGCCTCAGACTTCTTCAGTCCAGGCTGGTTTCCTGTAGCTCGGCGGCCTCTCCTTGAGATCCGCGAGGATCTCGGCGGCTGCCCCCTCTGCCCTCTTCCCGCTCTTGCACGCTTGCCAATTCGCTTCTCGGTGCCCCTGTCTAGCCCTGTCGCAGGTGCAGCCGACTCTGCCCCGCCGACGACGAACAAAACAAGAGGCCATTTCTTTATTGCTTGGGGCATGACGGGCGTCATGGCCCCCGCTCCCCCCCCCCCTATGACGTAACGCTCCCCCCCCAGTTCGCCCCATGCATTGCCGCCGTGCGCATTGGGATCCGCGTAGGTGTCCGCGTAGGAATCCGCATAGGTGTCTGGTCCGCAGGCGTCGTCGTCGTCGTCGTCGTCGTCGTCGTCGTCGTCGTCGTCGTCGTCGTTCGTCGTCGTCGTCGTCGCTCGTGGTTCGTCGCTCGTCGTTCGTCGCTCGTCGCTCATCGTCGTCGTGCGCGCGGACGCGGCTGGAGCCTGTTTTTAAATCCGGGCCGATGACGGCAATCATCGGGGGGAGAGGGGGTCGATGACGTCACGTTTCGCGCCGGCCGCGCTTGGGAATGATTAGGAATGACGGAGGACGGGTAGCCCGAACATGTAGGTGGCGATATGCACCACAACGCTTGTGTACATCACAGTGCCCGCGTGCACCACAGCGCCTGTGTACACCACGCCGCCGATGTACACCACAGCAACCGCGTGCAACACAGCGTCAGTTTGTGCCACCGCGCCTGCGGGCACAGCAGCTCTTGCGTACACCACAGCGCCTCCGTACACCACATCAGCCGTGCGCAACATTGCACCAGTGTACACCACAATGCCTGCGTGCATTGCAGTGCCTGTGTACGCCACGGCGCCTGTGTGCACCACATCCGCCGTGTGCAACACAGCACCATTGTTGTGTATAGAATTTCAGAAGGAATCCTTGTGACAAAATGGAGCGCGTGTGGGTTCCAGGGAAAACAACGGAAAA